GTTCAGGGGTGGTCTCAGAGAAGAAATTCAGCTCGCTCTTGTTCTCTTTGAGCCCTTGAGGTACGATGAGTTCTACAACATGGCACTGAAGCAAGAGGCTGCTCAGTTGAGGTGTGATGCTTCCAAGAAACGAGTCAGAGATGTTACTCCTTCTTCCTCTACTCAAGTGGCCAAGCAGCAGAAGTTCTGGCTTCCTCCTCCTCCGTTCCGTCAGCCGTATTAGTAGAAGAGCAAAGGTGGCAGTGGTTCTTCCCACCCACCCAACCCTGGCTTTCAGAACAAGACTTCGTCTCGAGCTCCAAGATCGAGTGCTCTGTATCACCGTCCGCTTTCAGAGGTCACGTGCAACAAGTGCCAATAGAAGGGTCACTATGCCGACAAGTGTTTCAACCAGAGGCGTCTTTCTCCTCCTCCTCCTGTCAGATCGGCAAGTACAGCTATGGTCAAGCATAACCCCAAGCATGCCAAGGTCAATTTGATGAATGCAGCTCAGGCAGAGGACTCGTCAGATGTGATCATGGGTAACCACCATACTTGCTAGTCGCTTACTGCAGCTCCACTCATATTTTACCTTGCCTTACCTATAAGCTTAAATAGTCTTGATCGCGAGGGTGCGAGATTGCTGAGTCCCTGTGGCTCACAGATTACTATTACACCAGATGCAGGGCCTGATGATTCCGCTCCAGGAGACGCGTATGAGCTCAAGTGGGAGTTCGACGAAGACTCTCAACGTTACTATGTTTCCTTTCCCGATGATCAGTAGTGGTGCCCACTTGGGGGTGATTAGGACCGTTGTCGCATGTTGGGTTCTCTTTTATTTTGACGCCGTAGTCGGGCCATAAGTGTTTGGATGATGTAATGTATTTATGTGCTTGATTGACGTGGCGAGTGTAAGCCAACTATGTTATCTCCTTTTTGTTATCATATTACATGGAATGTTGTGAAGATTGCCTAACTTGCGACATATGCCTTTAATGCGATTATATCTCTAAGTCGTGCCTCGACACGTGGGAGCTATAGTCGCATCGAGGGTGTTACAGGCGCGAACGAAGCGGACCTGTCGACATTGGCAGCGTTCCCGTCCACAATCACCTACGCCGCCTGCGCATCCACGTCCGTTGTAATCTCCTCAAATAGGTGGTCGCGATCCGTCTCATTGACACGAAAGCTGCCACCGTTTGCAAAAAATTATGCGAGCGCTGCTCACGGACCCGTAGAGCTACTGCTTCTCATCGATGAAGCTGGGATCCTATGTGACCATGGTCACGACGGTCTGCTCGCTCCTCGAAGATCAGACCCTCCGCCGGTTGGTGGTGCTCGAGGAGCTGCATGATGTAGCGTTGCTCCACCTACAACATCCGAAATGCCGACACCAGTGACGTCGCCAGCTTACAGCCACCATGATGTGGTTGATGTGTTCGTGTGCCTGCTCCAGGTCCATGGTGAATTGGGCGACCACTTTGGAGCGAAGGCACGATAAGAGCTGATCCATGGGAGATGATTTTTTGTGGGACCGCTTTGTCGAACGCGTACGTGAAGGTGGTCTGGACACCCGCAAACCTTCCCCTCGGTTTACTGCTGAATTGCGAGATTTCAGACGTCCAGACGCATCCGAGGACGTTTAAGGCATAACGTTGGGTGTCCAAACATCGCGACCCAATGTTTAGGGCAATTTGTTTTGATATATTCCCTTCGTCCGATGAAGAGTGTACGTTTGGGTCTAAAATTTGTCTACAAAAGAGTGTGCCTATATCTTCCCAATACACTTTAAAGTAAAAAAATGCTTCTCTTTCATCACACGGCAATCAAGACCAATATCATTCTACACATGGTCTTCTTAATTTCTACATGCACTTAGCTCATTGGGGATTGAGTAATTAAAGAAAAGAGAGATGGTGGCTTGCACCTTTCCAATGCATTTTGTACCCCACTTCATAATTTGTCCTAAAATTTCTATATGCACACCTTTCACTGGACGGAGGGAGTATGTTGCCCTTACATATATTCCATCTCGCTCCTTCACGGTCGATAACTAGAGATGATCGTGCTCTCGTGAATGCAACGTGAAGAAGACTATCGAGGGAGAAGAAGGCATTTATGCTTTGACATGTGTGTTGATACATTAAGAGCAAGTATAATAAGGTGATGTAAGAAGGTTATATGGATTTAAGTATTATTTGCAGTTGAAAGAGAGAGAAGAGAGACAGGCTGTAGATTTATAGCCAGCTGAAGCACGAGCTCTAAGCAGATTTGTGGGAGTGTAAAGTGAATCATATGCTAATGAAGTAGCTAACTATTATAGATGTTAGCTATTACATTGGCTATAGATGTTGGCTACTCCGGTCCTTTTTAGTCTGCATATAAATTTTGTGTGAAGTCAAAATATCTTCACTTTGACCAAATTTATAGAAAAAAGTATCAACGCTCAAATTGCAAAATCAATATTCTTAGATTCGTTACGAGATGTGCTTTCATAGCATATATATTTCATATTGTAGATATTAATATTTTTTAATATAAATTTGGTCAAACTTTGCAATGCTTGACTTTACACAAATCTAATATGCAGAGTAAAAAGAACCGGAAGAGTACATTGGCCATAGATGACATAATAGCCAGCAGCTGACTATATTTTTAACCATGCTCTAATGTGTCGAGGAAGAAGATATGGTCTTACAAGAATTTTTTTCCTTTTAAAAAAGCTAGGATCCTCGAAGGTTGACACTTGACAGTGGCCATTGAGCAAGTGGCGGAGCTTAGTGAAGATCAACTTGGGCCATCGTCCCCTGCTCAGGAGACTTATTCATATTATCATGAGTAAATTGCCCATAGATTCATAGAAATCTAGCCTAAACCTGATGTTGGTTGCCCCAGCCCATTTGCCCTTTCTAAGATGTGTCCCAAGCTCCGCCACTGCATTGAGCACTTTGTTTTGTGCCGAAGACGCTTGAACGTTAACTCCATTTTGGAGGCGCCATTTCAGTTCATCTACGACGAGTAGAAGGCAACAAGAAACACAAGTAGGAGTAGTATGCAGAAGTGAACACCGGACTGGAATGGGTCGGAGAAGCCGACCTACCCACATGGACATTCCCGGCAGCGGAAAGCCGGCGCGGTGGCCCCTGAGCAACAGAGGGTGGCCTGAGACCTGCCTGAGCAGCAGCGCGGGCAGTGACACGACGGGACCTGCCGCCTGCGCGGTGGCCCGCGGCCGGCACCCCACGAGACGGGCACGCACACAGCACAGCGCCGGCGCGGCCCACCCAACCCAATCCCCGGCCTGCGTCGTCGTTTTCCAGGCGCACGTCCACGCCGAGAGACCGGGTCGGGCCCTTCTCCATCGGAGAAAAAAGCTCGCGGAAAAGCGGGGCGCGGCTCGCCGGACTGTGCGAGTCTCGGAAAAGAGCGACAAAAGCGACGCGCGCGCGCGCACCGCATTCGCATGCCATGCACCGTATACTCGCTCTCGTCTCGCGCCTCCACGGCCGGCCCCTCCGGCGTCCACTCCGGCCGATTGGACGGCCCGGGCCATGCATGGCATGCTGCATGCTGCGACCCCTGCGGCGTCGACTGGGACTTTTTGGTGCCTCGGTCACCGCCTCCGATCGTCTTTTTTCGTCAGCGTGCAACGCCTTGGCCTCACGCGCCAGGCTGCATGCAGTGCAGTGCAGGGCGTCTTTTAACGGTCGGCCTCGGTGTCAATCGATCTCCCCATCGTTTTCCCCGCACCGTACGTACCTCGCGCGAACCAACATCTGCAATGTTGCAATGCACTGTACCCTACATAATGTCCCTTGGACCTGGAGCTGGAGGAGTCCACGTACACAGTAGCCGGGTTGCAGGTGAATGTAACCACAGTAACGTACGAGAAGACACATTGTATTATGTCTTTCAGGCACAGTGCCATACAAAGCGAGCTCTGGCGTACGTACGGTCTGATCATGCATAAATGCAACTCTACTCAATATCATTGGCATACCAAGCATGTCTCTCTCGCGCTATCATGACCGTGATGTCACTCGACAAGTGCTCTCCTAGATGTTTAAAGCAAAGCAATGTATAAAGCCTGGCGCCGAAGCCTTGCTCAGACGCTCAGCTCTTGGTATAATGGCCGCAGAAAGCCTGAATGAACTGCCGTAGCCTACACGCATATGTATACAGAATGATTTGGAATGCTGAAAATATAGTACGAGTACCATGCATGCCCCAAACTCACAGTTTTACGATATACTCCCTCCGTTTTAAAATAGACGACTCAACTTTATACTAACTATAGTACAAAGTTAGTACAAAGTTGGGTCATCTATTTTTGGAACGGAGGGATATATATTATTTGCAATAATATATGGTGAAAAAAAGTTGTAAGAGACACACCCTCGTTTTTATAAGAAGTAAATAAATGTAGTGGTAGTAGTGCATAATTTCATTCATGGTTAGTTACAGCAAGAACTTAATTTATTTTCCAAACCACCACTTAGTTGATATTTAGAAGCTCTGGTTGGTGTAGATTTGAACTCTTATCGCCACTAATGTGAAAGTTTACTAGTATCGACGATGACTCATGTGACCCGGTCTAACCAGACATACTAATGTGAACCCTAACAAATCTTCACAAAAGTTAGATACTAATAAGAGCAGATCGTACCCGCATCACTGTTCTTGTAACACGCGACCTGATTACGCACACTTGCTTCCACGTGTTGGTAAAGCTCATGAATCATAATGAAAATCTAATTGATTGAAGTTTACATATTGCCTTGGTCTTCTATGGTGATTACATGGCTTTATTAGATGTAGTAATCATGCCAAGAACCCAATGATCAAGCTCTTAACACACTCCACTAGTAGGAAACGGATCACACCACAACTATGCATGCTTTAATTAGGCAACCCAAACGTACAAACACACGCAAAAATCAGAAGCTTTCCCAATGAGAACCGGCTCCATGCATGCATGCAAGACGGAGTGTATGCACAACCAGGTACGACGAAGTCAACAACTACGCAGCTTTCCCCTGCGGACGCAACGGGAAGAGCTCCAGGGTGACATTCTCCGTGCAGCCCTCGGCGGCCACCTCCGCCGCAGCATCGCCATGCCCATCGCCCCACGTCCTGCACTGCCGCTTGCAGCTCGTCACGGCATCGTCGCAAGCTTCCTTCTTATCACCGGCTCCATCCTACACAGACACAAACACATTGTAGCTGTAAATATCAACAGATAGCTCCGTGCCAACGTGTAGGTGGTAGGAGTAACTAGTAACCATTAATTGCACCGTGTGGTTCTTGGTTAATTAGGTACCTTGGTCGCCGTTGCAGGCAGGGAGGAAGAGTCGAGGGTGCTGAGGGTGAGGAGGGCGGCGCGCTTCTGCTTCTGCCGCTCCCGGGCCTTGTGGTTCTGGAACCAGTAGAAGACGTTCTTGCCCTCGATCCGGCCATGCCGGCCGAGCTCCTCCGTGATGCGCTCGATCTGGGCCGAGTTCGGGGTGCGCATACCGCCACGGTACAGCGCCTCCAGCACCTTGATCTGCTCCGCCGACGGGTTCCACCGCGTCGTCCCTCCCACCGGCACTTGCACCTGCATATTTATTTTCAACGTCACTTCTCACTTCTCAGTGGCATTTCACACCGACATGCATACTTAATCACCACTTCACTAGACAGAGCTAGAGTTAAAGTGCATACGGTATGGTTTCTGACGGTGCAGCAGAGCAGCTTGGTGGCGTTCCTGACGCGGCCGAGGACGTCCGGCGGCGCGACGAGCTTCTTCGGCTGGTCCGGGAGGGAGATCTTGGGCGCCAGCGGCCGGAGGCATTGGAAGGCGCCGAAAGGGAACAGCTCCGAGGGAGGAGAGGTGGACGGTGCAGTAGCCGGAGACGAAGACGCCGAGGCCGCTTTCTCCAGGTAAGAGGCCACATGAGAATGGTGAACCTTCATGCTGGCGCACTAGTTTAGTGCAAAGTTCGTACGGGGAATGGGACGAAGATTTGGCTCAGGGCTAGGGCTAGGTGGAGATCGAGATCGAAGAGCGTCGTCCTCCCGTGGTTATATATGGGGAGACAGGCGGTAAAGGTGGCGAGGGTTTGAGTGCTGGCTTGTGCGAGATCGAGGTAACAGTGGAAAGGGTGCGCGCGCGACAGGGAATGTGGAGATTGGTGATGAAAGGCGTCAGCGTTCGTAATCATGCGAGACACGGAATACAGGCGCTCTAGTAAAGGTGGAAAATTCTCGCATGGAGCTCTCTTTTCGCCTTTTCCTGTCCAAATTCACGACGTACGATCAATTGACAAGCTAATACTAAAGCAACTCTGAGGCAAACATGTCCAAATGTATATTTGCATTGGACGCCCTTGCTCCCCTCTTGGAGGGGGCCGCACATTGTATGCTTAGAGCGGACATACTCCCTTCTTTTCGGTTTATAGGACTTATCTTAAAATTTTAGTTTTTCCATTTTATAAGGCTCAATTTGATTGTTCCCCATCACATGTTCAGACTTCAAGGTGCATTAAATCATTGCATGCAAGTATTAAGAGAAAACTGACCAATGCATGCACTTTATGCATGCATGTATTGCAATTAATGCATTCATAAACATATTTTTTTGAGAAAAACAAAAGCATTAATTGGATGCTTTTGCAAATTATAAAAAATATTCCACCACTCATCATCTACCTTGGTTGGTGAGATTTTTGAATTGAGCCTTATAAACCAGAAAGGAGGGAGTAGATCAGGTGACATGCACGTTTACATGTCACCGTGTGCCTTGCGTCCGAAATTCAAATTTAAACATTGTGAAAAAATTTGAAAAAAATATGCATCTTCACATCACATATTAAGATAACCCGTAGAAAAAATCAGATCAAAATTCAAAACATACATTAAGAAACAAAAAAGAGAAATCTGTCATGAATAGTTCGCGAATGGTTCTGTGTAGACTATTCACGTATGAGTTTCTCTTTTTCGTTTCTCGATATATGTTTCGAATTTTGATCTGAATTTTTTAGGAGTTATCTTAATATGTGCTGTGAAGATGCATGATTTTTTTTCCAGATTTTTTCGCAATGTTTAAATTTGAATTTCGGCCGCAAGGCACACAGTGACATGCAAACGTGCATGTCACGTCACCTAATCTCTGTCCGCTTAGAGCATCTCCAACAGCCGCGCTACGCGCCGCGCGCAAAAAACTACTTTGACGCGCGTCCTTCGCCTGGTTTTGCGCGGCCGGCAGCGCTGGCTCCAACAGCCGCGCTAAAATGCAGCGCGCGCGTGCCGCTCCAGCAGCGCGCAAAAAATGCAGCGCGCGCGACTCGCCGGGGCATTGCATATGTTGCATTTTGTACACAAAATGAATTTGAAACCTCCAACAGTC